GTTAGGTAAATATCCCTCTTCTATTTGATATCCTCCTAGATATAGTGCCCTTGGATTCTGGAGTGCTACACATTCAGTTAGGATGTGAATGGAGGTTTCGTCCTCCTCCTCACAGAATCTGCACTCACTATCCTCTACTACTATCAGTTTACTTAGGTGTCCTTTTAGTCGGCAATGCCCGGAAGGGATCCCTGTTACAATACGTAGTCTGTTCTTGCTCAGGCAGATGCAGGATTCCGATCTTTTCTGGTTATATTCACCCAAAAGTATCTTGGCCTGTCTCAGCCCCAAGAGATTGTTCCAATTATCGGTTCTTCTACTGCCCAATTCTTTTTTAATATCTCCCAATATTATGTTACTGCTGATACCGCAGAACGGCTCGTTATGTCCCGGGACCCAAGTGAGAGTAACTCTATTTTTCTCCCCTAGCTCATTCAATTGTTCTAGGCATCTCCAGACCATTTTTGAGCTGATTACGTAAGAGCTCAGCGCATTGATGGCTGCTTGACTCTCGGACATGATGATAATCTCTTGTCTATAATAGTTTCTTTCGATGTTAAACTGGATACACTTCTCGCCTGGAAGATGCTTGGATATTTTCCCAAGCTTTCGGAGTGCTTGGTTCTCGGCCCATACACTCCTATTCCAGTTCCTTCTATGGTTTTGGAACCGTCCGTATACCAGTGAATAGCACGTTTTTCGATTGCAAGCGCGATGTATTCTTGGATCCATTCTTTCTTGCAGCCCAGCTCTGTGGTTTTGAAGTTTTTCACAAAACTGTACTTCTTTAGCATTTCATCCTGGGGCATGTCCCAGGTATCTTTAGTCCTGAAGCAAGTAGACTTTCGTCTGATTACTCCGTTCCTCATTATTCTATATCGTCTCCTTTCTGCCATATTCTCTATCATCAAATGTAGAGGGGTGAGGTTTAAGATCACCTCCATTGCGGCCGTAGAACAGGTTCTCATTGCACCAGTAATGAAAACACAGGCTAGTCTTTGTACTTTTGAGATATTAGCTCTTGTAGTAGCTAAACTAGTTCTGTTACTCCAGACTATAGCCCCGTAAGTGATGATTGGTCTCACTATTGCAGTATACATCCATCGCAGTATGTTTGGGTTACATCCCCATCAATTACCTGCAATGTTTCTGTATACCATTAGGGCTTTTGTGGTATTTACTACTTCCTTCTCATGTGTGTTCCAGAGAAGTTTGTTGTCCAGGGTTAGGCCTAGATATTTGACTTCATTTTTCCATTCTTTCCTTGAAAAGGCTACTAGTGTTGTTTTTGTAGGGTTTATACTAAGTCCCACTTCACGGCACCATCTTTTGGTATATTCTAGTCCTCATTGGACTATATCACTCAGGATATTACTAAACTTGCCACTAGCAAATATGACTATGTTGTCGGCATAACCTTGACAGGGTATGCCGAGGTCAGTCAATCTGCATAGAAGTTCGTCTATGATTAGGCTCCACATTAGTGGGGATAGAACTCCTCCTTGTGGACATCCTCAATTTAATATTTCTAATACATTTCTATAATTTTTAGCTTAATTCTCATACACTTTACAATAGCTGAAGGTAATAGTGGTTCATCATTATCACAATCTCGTTCAAAATACTGTATTAATGAAACTACTTACAACGACTATTTAGTTTTTTTGCATTTTGTATGTAGAAATAATAGACAATAATCACTGTTTTGAAAATCAACTTGTAAACATACTCTAAAACCTAAATAAGTGAAATTTTTTAAAAGCTATTGGCAACACAGCAACAAGGTATATCATAATTGTCGCAATTCTCTATAAATATGAGTTTTTTTTATTACACTATCCAACAGATTGGCATCCAATTACCGGAGAGTTACATACGCTATTTTTTTTACACCCGATAAATAATCAAGAACTATAAATAATATATTTATATTTGTATTGAACACAATAATAGTAATTACTCGTATTTCTATAAAAAAATTTTGAATTGCGATTGACGAATCCTAAGGACTTCATGATTCATGATTCACACGTTTTCTTTTGCATATGTTCCGAAAAATATTTTTTTGAGTCAAACTATACCCCAAGATCTTTGATTAAGTCTGCTCTAGGTATCGATGTAACATCAAGCAAATAATTAGCTCTAATAATACTTTATTTTAAGGAATAACTCACGACATAACATTTAGATGGGTTTAATAGGAGTCGATTTTTTACACACCATTCGTTAACTTTGTTTAAGTCAGTTTGCATTTTCTCAGTGTCAGATACATTATTAATTTTGTAGTTAAGTTTAAGATCATCTGCATAGAGTAAACTATTTACTTTTAGGTCCGCAATAATGTCGTTGATAAAAATAATAAAAAATAAAGGCCCCAACACTGAGCCCTTTCGGTACTCCAGAAGTGGCCGTACGGACTTTTCACCACGACACCCTTAACTTGTAAGTGACGATTTGAAAGATAGGATTTACATAATGCTATCTGTTTTTCAGAAAAATTTAAACTTTCTAACTTGCTAACAAGAATGTTATGATCAAGTTTATCAAACGCTTTAGAAAAATCATTGTAGATCACGTCCACCTGCGAGCGAGTGTCTGATATAAACTGTGTTATGCAAAATAGGTTTGTAGTTGTGGATCTATTTTTTACAAAACCGTGTTGATAAGGTGTTAATTGCCCACTAAAATGAGAATACATTGGTTTGTATAGGCAAAACTCCAAAACTTTAGAAAACTTGTTTATTATTGATATAGATCTATAATTTTCTATTTCATTTTTATTTTCTTTTTTGAAGATAGGAACGACTTTTTATTATTTCAATACATCGGGAAATTTATTAGTTTGTAATGATAAGTTAAATAATGTTTTTAGAGGTTTAGAGAATATAAATGCACAGTCATTTAGAATGAAAGCAGAAATTTTATCAGGCCCCTTGGTATTTTTTGTTTTAATTTTTTTCAGTGCTTCATAAACGTTATTCTAGATTTAACATCCCAAGATATTCATTTTGATTTACCGTAAAATGGACCGTAATGGAAAAATTGGAGGAAAAGTGTAAAATTTAAATTTCTCTATCCTCTAAACATTTACAGAGATGCTACAATAGGTTGCACCGGAAAAAGCCTGTAATAAATAGATAGGAAAGTCATGTGTTGAACACATCAGATTTTTAACATTATTGGATAAAAAATAATCGTTGAAACCGTTGTATTGCTGACTTAAAATGTATATAGAACTCTTATTACAAACATAAAATATGTATGTAAGAAAAAATAGATTTTCCCTTTTAGTTCCTGTAATATGAAATATTTAATTTCTTACAATTATAATATCGATTTTATTATATTTTTCATTTTATTTAGTGACCTTTCCTCAATAAATAGAAACACAAACGATTTATTATAATGGGCTATAACAACACTTCACAATTTTTAATCCTATTTACGTAGAAATATTCAAGAGTTCTTTATTTTTTTAAGAAATCATTTAGGAATCCGTTTAATTATGAATTTAGAAAGAAAATTAGTATTAAAAACTATTATTAGAAATGTTGGTAGAATATCTGCCATAATCTTGAATTAGATACATATTTATTTATGTTGTACCACTAAAAAAAATCCATTTGCCTTGGTTAACAAATTATTTAAAAAATTAAAACTAAAATTAGGCTACATCATCAATATTTGATGAGTCAAGTATTTAAATTTATTCTGCCTCCATCTAATGAAGGTGACATCTAATGAAAACGCAAATAATACCCAACATGAACGTTGAGGATTTACTGCGGATTGATAGAACAAACTAGAACATCTTTGTCTATCCCAAGTAATAAAAAATAAAAGGGTAGACAGAGTCTTTTCAGAGGGTTTAATGATTTCAAGGTAAACTTATTCTTGTGGTGCGACTTACATGCAATATAATCTCAAAAATGGTCGGTTTTTCCTATAAAAATTGACATAACAAATGACATAGATCCATAGAACATAGATCAGCCAACGAGTATACAAGATTTAGGTAACCTTAAACTAAATGTAAACAAATGTAAAAAAGGTTATTAATCTAAAAAATTAAATTAGAAAGAATATAAAATACAATGTTCATTTGACAAGATGTTATAGAGTCCAGAGAGGTTAGGTACAGTTGAGGCTACTGGAGACAAAGTATTGGATATTGAAGGATTGAAATCTATTAATAGTTTTACAATTTCCTAAGAATCAGTTTTCTGTTTTTCGACATGACTGAAAATAATAAAATTCTTCCTAAAAAAAAATATGTCCATTATTAGTAATAATTTATTCATCATTCAATCGATCACAGATAACTATAAAAAAACGTATTACGATATTGAATGAATTTCTGGGTGTATACTCTAACAGAGCTAAAGCAACACGTAACTTTTGTAAGTAAATAATCCATAATATTCTCTACTCGTTTTTATTCGAACAAAAAGCGTGAATGCAACTAGTTTCAAGCTGCTTTGTTCCCAGCTAAAATCGCGTGATTTTAATTTACATAAATTTATTAAACGCAAGAGTTCATCGTATTTTTCACACAATCCTGAAAATACTTAACGAAACAATTTAAAACTTATGATGTTATGTGAAAATACAGGGTAGGGTGGAATAAAAAATGATTTTAAAAACCTCTGGAATTGTGGGATCTCATTAGAAGGTGGTGGGAATGTTGTCGGTTATATTCCACCCACACCTAGCAGTCACTTAATCAGTTCAGTAGTAATAGAGCAGTGAACCTCTCAGTACTGCGTCGTGCTTTCCAGGACAATTTGCCTGTGTCTATGCCATTAAAAAACGGGTTAAGAATTTTGAGGAGACTTCGTCAATGACGAAAAAACGATACATACGCCTGAAAACAAGAATAAAAAAGTAATAATTACAATTTTGGTAAAATGCTTTGAAAGCGTACGCGTGCTGCTTAGAGGTCTAGCGCTCGAGTATATCCCAAATAAATTCTTTATGTAGATATATATCTTTTGTTACAGTTTGAAAATCTTCCGTAATGTACAACATTGCCGAAACGAATCTGAAGGATGGACTTAAGCGCTTGTACGAACTGGCTGTGCGCGAAACGCCAACCGAATGGCATACCGCCGAGTGCCCCCCAGGACTACCAATCGGTAGTAACGTCCGGTCCTGGACCGAGTCCTGGCAGTTCAAGTTCCTGCGATGACGTAGTGCCGCCGCAAAAGAATTGTTTTAGGTTAGTTATATTAGGTAAGTTAACACGTTTTAGAATGTTTTTTCAACGTTATTAACTGTTAATAATTGTAATTAACTGTTATTAACTGTTATTAACTGTTATTAACTGTCATTAACTGTTATTAACTGTCATTAACTGTCATTAACTGTCATTAACTGTCATTAACTGTCATTAACTGTTATTAACTGTTATTAATGGTTATTAACTGGTATTAACTGTTGTTAACTGTTGTTAACTGTTGTTAACTGTTGTTAACTGTTGTTAACTGTTGTTAACTGTTGTTAACTGTTGTTAACTGTTGTTAACTGTTGTTAACTGTTGTCAACTGTTGTCAACTGTTATTAACTGGTATTAACGATTGTTAACCGTTATTAACTGTTATTAACTGTTATTAACTGTTATTAACTGTTAATAACCGTTATTAACTGTTATCAGCGGTTATTAACTGTTATTAACTGTCAGGACTTGTCTTCAAGTAGATTAAATTAGAGTTTTTAGGACTGTGTGCCATGTAGCCTCCCTCACCTTTAACTTTTCAGATCTATTGTGGATACTATTTTGCCATTGGTCTAATTTGGTCCTTTGTAGTAGACTCTATAGACTAGAAAGTTGCTCTACGGTGTAGCTAATTACCCTTGATTTTTTTCTCTAAGTTTGAGCAGTGCAGTGCAGTATTGATAGACCTTCGCAGTAACATAATACGTATACTGCAGTTTTCACTTCTTCCTAACGAAATTAGCACAAAGTCTCTCCTGCCAGGCCGATGTTAGGCCTAAAATACAACTAGTATTCTAGTATTTTTCCTATTTTGGCGATGGTTCTTTTAAACACTCTTTGGTGTGTCTCTGTCCTAGTAAGTTGTTCCACCATTCCTTAGATTTGTTAATATCCACTACTTTGTGTCAATGTTCTGATTGCTGTCTATGCGATACCACAAAAGGGTTTTTGATCAAAGAGCCTTTAAAGCTCTTTCTCGGGCTAGTAAATCAGCCTTTGCATTGCCCTTAGACTAAGTTTAGTCTGTTTTGACCGACCAGCTCTGTTTGCAAACAGATCCACATAAGCTTTGAAAGTACCTGAATAGAACGTCGTTTAACTGTGTAAGTATATGACAATGGTTTTTTCCATTTATCTTGTCTTAATACCTCGTTTACGTAGAGTTATGTATTGCTGCTAGTGAAATTATTGCCTTTGGCTTGGAAATATATGTTCCTACTCTTGCTCTTTCATTGGGTTTGGAGCGTTCTGTATACCAAGTAATTTCTACGTTAATAGAATTTTCTCTATTCCACGCTTTCCAGTCTTGTATACTTAGCTTATATTCTTTATGAAAGCTATATTTTCATCTGAAGTCATTGCCAGTTATGTTTTAACTTTTTTATTGCTCGCAGTAGTTAAGCTCCTGCAGATTTCATATGGATGATGGACTTTTGTGGTGCAGTGCAGTGCAGTGAATAAATATGTGCATTGGTGTTAGGTTTAGCATGCTTTCTAGGGTTGCTGTTGGAGTCGTTCTTATAGCTATCGTAGTATTTAAGCATGGCTTACCTTTGAATACTATTGAGTTGGTCACCAAACCACCGATTCATAGGTTATCATAGGCCTTACGACGGTTGTATGTCCCCTTAGGGGCATTTTGGGTTATAGTCCCCAATTTATTTCACACAGCCTTTGACATAAGTTTAAGGATATTATGTTTTTTTAGATAACTTTTTGCAATTATTGATTCCATGTTAACTTGTGATCAAAGATAACATAAGTATTTTGCCGGATTCTCAATACTGCTGACTTTAGTGCTGTCAATACCTTTTGTTTTGTGAAATTGATTATGCTGGTTTTGTGGGGGTTTTCGCTTAGTTTCTGTAGCTTAAAACAACAACATAACTCTACTACATCTGTGAATAAGTGGATAAGTCAAATTTTAGTAAAAATGAGATATCTACATGTATCTATAGTACTCTTCCCATTCTGCCTGGTGAATAAATGGGTAATTCAAATTCGCAATAGTTTACTTCAGAGGACGCCGTGAATAGTTGAATTTTTCTAATTTTTTGTGCCAAAACCGGTAACTACAGTTATCCCCAATTTTTTTATATAATATAACACAGATATTATTTTTAAATATTTAGATAACTCAACAAATCGACTTATTCACTTGATCATATGTAACATGCATAGAAGGTATATCCACTTGTCAAATATTCAAGAGTCTTAATATTTGTGTGAAATAATGTAACTCAACTTGACTATCCGTGTACATAATATTCAGTCGTTGAACAACGAGGTATGTCGAAATACTCGCGTAACGTTGAAATTTTATTAATTTTGTCGATATCTTGAATTACCTGTTTATAAACATGACAAGAGTAACAGCGGAAAAAACGATTAAATGGGAAATAACTAGGTAAGTAATGACAAGTCGCCCCAGTGCTCTCATTTTGTTGTTTTGAGTTTTTAAGGTTAGGAAGTATGTAAACAGTGTCGTCTAAAATGTAATGAGAGGTTCTCTAGTGAGGACTGGGATAGATGCTTCCAAGACTATTGGATTGAAATATAGCTTCTCTAATTAATTTAAATGAAAAGAACACGGAAAAGCTAGGACCAAGGAAAAAATATAGAGAATGTTCATATAAGTATAGCATCATCGTTATTGCTAGGACACAACAGCCAATTTGTAATTCTTGCTTTATTGCAACGTTCGGCGAAACTAAAGGATTTGTTAAAATAGTAGCGGAAAAGAAAAAAAATATATTTTCTGGAATCATTCCGCCAGATAGTCGTGGAATTGCTCCTTCAGGTAATAAGCGATCGGAGGAAGAAATTCAAAACTCCAACGATCACATTTTGTCGTTTCCTAATTATGAAAGTCTTTACTGTAGAAATAGAACATCTAAAAAGTACTTCTCCAGTGACTTGTCTATAGCTAAAATGTATGACATGTACAAAGAAATAGTAGACAAACCGATCTCATTAACATTGTACAAAAACTGCTTTTACAGTTTGAACCTTGCATTCAAACAGGATACTTGTTTTAAGTGTGATATTTTCCAAACATAAATAATGGTCGCTGAGGGCGAGGAGAAAGATAATTTGACACAGGAGAGGAATAAACACCATCAGCTCGCAGAAAATGCATACAAGGCAAAACAGAATGATAAGGAGATTGCAGCTCCAGATAATAATGAAAAAGCATATACATTTGATCTTCAACAGTGTCTTCCTACACCCTTTTTAACAGCAAACACTTTTTTTTATAAACGTCAACTATGGACGTTTAACCTTACCGTTCACGATTTAACATCAAATAAAGTTACATGTTTTATGTGTGACGAATCAATTGCTGCAAGAGGTGGCAATCAGATAGCCTCTTGTATTTACCGCTTTTTATTGGAACTCCGTGATGTGGAAGAGGTAACTTTCTACTCGGACACTTGCGGAGGCCAAAAAAAACCAGCAAGTCACTTTTATGTTTAGCTTTGTTTTATCAAAATGCCCCAATATCCATATTATAAATCACAAGATTTAGTCAGCGGTTACACTCACATGGAGTGTGATACCGATCATACCCTCATAGAGAAAGAAAAAAAGAGAACTCATATGAAGATTAATAATTACCCTATCGACTGGCATCAGATGGTAAGATCCTGCAGGATAAAAAAACCATTCAAAGTAATAGTAATGAAACAAGAGAATTTCTTGGACTTCAGCAGTCTAAGAAAAGGAGCCTTAGTCGTTAAAAAAGTTAACACTGATGGGGAAAAATTTTTGAGGCGGCCAGTTCAGTGGTTCCAGTATAACAGTGAAATCGGAATAGTCAAGTATAAACATAGTTTAGACGTCTCGCACCCTTTCAAATCTGTAAATTTCCGAAGAAGAGGAAAACACACTATACGAAGCACATTGTCCCAAATCACAGACAAGGTTTTGCCTATTAGTAAGGAAAAAAAGCAAGACACTTGCGCTTTTGCCGCTATTTAATGAAGTTTTTCATAACTTTTACCGAAATTTGCCCACTACGGATATGAAAGACTTAGACCAGGATTAAGAAGAGATTGGTCCATATGATCAGTAGTTTTTTTAGTTTTTTTCCAATAAAAATGTTATTTGGATTAGTTCAATTTGCTTTTCATAAATAAATAAAAATATTCATAAATTTTTGTCCCGTTTATTTGCACTAGAATAAGTCAGTAACTCAACAACAACACCCAAATTTGGGGTGAATAAATAGGTGTCAGATTTTTTTCATTAAAGGTGCGTTTTAATCATCCGCTTCTGCTTCCGGAATTGTCGGTTTAGTCGTTTTAACCTGTCAGATTTAAACAAGAAAACCGACAATTCCGAAGCAGAAGCGGATGATTAAAACGCACCTTAAGTAATATCATTTGACAGGTCATAATTATGTACATTGTTGGTTGCATAATTAACAACCTATTTCTAAAAAAACGAAGCTCAACTTAAAATTAGTATTTTTCGAAAACATCAAAATGTTTAAAATGGCCATACTGAAAAACTTAAATTTTTGACTTACCGACCTATTCACAGATGGTACAGATCTATAACCTGATAAGATTGATAAAACAAATATTAGTACAAGACGAGAGTGGGTAGGTACCTTCCAATCAGATTAATGACGTTTTTAACAAAAGCCAGATTAGGAGTAGATACCCTAATTAAGTTAATAATAATGTACAGTACCTGCACATATAGTTTAAGTTAAAAAATTTGACTCTCAAAAGAAATTTCAATCGTTGTACTGTTGATATTTGGCTCTGTTGACTAATGACCCAGCAATGGTCGTAAAAGGCAAGTTCGCAAGTACAATATCTCAACATACACATAAATTGCTTTAAATAACGTTTAAGAGTGGTTCAGAGAATAAAGGCTAAAGACACTTTGCTGTTTCTGAATTTTTAAAATCTGTTGAGTAAATATTTCCTTATAATTTAGAAGTGTGGTTTTAAAATAGTAATTGTCAATATCAGAATTATTTTCTCGAGATTTCGAAAGGCTTGGAAAGTGGAACCTTGGAGGAAAGGCGAATCGCTTCTAGTCTTTCCTGCGAGTAGACGCGCTTTCAAAGATACAACTCTCAATAAGTTGCTTCAGAGCATATAAACATCAACTAAGTATATAAAAATATAAATATGAAAAACAGTCCTCGCACTGTACGTATGCATCTGCAGATGTTATTTTATGAAAGAGCCACAATCAAGGGGCCAAAGGGCCGCAAGTGACTCGCGAGCCGCGATTTGCCTACCATTGCTCTAGGCAATAGAAGACTGCAGATATCAGCCTATTTATAAGTTCGCCTACTAGGACTAATCCTTTCTTCTAGGCTGACTTTTGTCCTCTGACACAGGACTACTGATACCCCTTCTTTTGATAGTGCATTACTTATAGATCTTTTATGGACATTAACAATATCTACGAGAGTTGCTACTGCCATTCAAGTAGCATATAAGTTAGTTTGTTCACCTGGTATATTTGGTATTTATTTATTTTCTTCAAATTATTTGATACCCTTTGTTATTATTATTCACTACAGTAATTTATTTCGAGTTCCATTTGCCGTATTTCTTAATAGCTGACTTATTTTTTAATACAACTATAATAAAACGGATTTCATTCTATTTGCAGGATCGGCTAGAGTAGGAAAAACATGCCTTGTAGCGAGATTTTTGGGTGGTAAGTTTCAGGAATGCTATACACCAACAATCGAAGACTTCCACAGAAAATTATATAGAATTAGAGGAGAAATATACCAGTTAGATATATTAGATACTTCGGGCAATCATCCGTTTCCCGCTATGAGGAGGTTATCGTTTTTAACAGGTAAGATTTATTATATCACATTACTTTACTGTCTACTTCGTACTGTTCGCACTTATTTTTATTTTTATCTATTACTAAAACCTACATTTTTAAAAATATTCGAGTCGCTTATTTTGATAGCGACGTAAGTCACTATTATGCTATTTTCAGATGTTATATATTATTATTTATTTGTACTCTGTGATAAATATGAAAGAACGCACGCAGTATCATTTACAGAATCGGTTTACAATCTTAAGGTTTGGCGTAATTAAGCCTACAGATTTAATGTAGGTGACAACGTCGCTAAGAGGTGCTTATTTCATATCGGTCGGTATTAACCGATATTCGCTAAATACAAATCTTTTATTAAATCGTAGGCGGATGTGCTCGATGGTCTCATCTTCTTGTTCGCACTCCTTGCAGAGTGTGTATTCTGAGAGCCTCATAATATGGAGATGCTGCCATACTTGGGCAACTATTTGACTATATATGAAAAGGCCTAATCCTGCCTGAAAGATATTGCATTTTTTCTGTATGTTTTAATTTTTTGTGTAGCTATTATATGCTCATTAGCCCAATCGGATTAGTATTTTAGATTCTGAAAAATTCGAAGCAGCAATTTTCCTTCGGAATTCGTTGGAGGGGGTCTATGGTAGTCTAAATTCAAAAAGTTGGGATTCCAAAGTTGTCATTACCTCCGCTATCTTGATTTAAAGGGTTATTTTTTGTATCTTGAATAACTCATTTATTTTCAATTTTACACGGAAAATAGTTTTTACAAAAGTGATTTAAAATTAAATTTCCTACAAATCTGCTTTTTTTTTGTACGATCGATTTTTTTCGATTTATACCCGAAAAGAGGGGGTGAATTTTTGGTTATAGAATAACTCGTTTATTTTCAATTTTACGAGAAAAATTGTTATAAACAAAGTTGTTTAAAATTAAATTTCCTACAATTCTGTTTTTTATTTGTACGATCGATTTTTTTGTATTTATCCCTGAGAAGAGTGGGGGTGAACCTAAGTATTGTATTGTCACGTTTATTATTGATGTTGTACCATTATTTTTTCTGTTCGTTTTTTTTTGCTGATTTTCAAAAATGTTATTTGGTACAATTATGATTCCGATTTTTTCTAAAGTTTATATTGTTGGGTCGCACGTTCACGGAAAAGGAAAAGAGGGGTGTAAATAATCAGTTTATCGAACAGTATAATTTTTACAATTAAAAAAAATGAAATTTATTTTCTTTTCAGTACACTTTTAAAAGTCTATCGAAACGTCAATGACGTCTGTTTGGAACGTTTAGCCGATGGCTCGGCCAAGTTTTCGTCGTTCGATTCTTCCTCGTAATTGTCGACGAATTCGTCCGGAAGCTCAGGAGGTTCGGGGGTGACTTGCTCTGAGCGGTTTTCGTCACTATCAAGGTTATCTTCATCTTCGTTCTTTTGGAGTTTACTGTATACCTGGAATTAAAAAGAAACGTGATAATACAATGATAAGAGTTTACCCCCACTCTTCTCAGGGATAAATACAAAAAAATCGAGCGTACAAAAAAAAACAGAATTGTAGGAAATTTAATTTTAAACAACTTTGTTTATAACAATTTTTCTCGTAAAATTGAAAATAAACGAGTTATCCTATAACCAAAAATTCACCCCCTCTTTTCGGGTATAAATCGAAAAAAATCGATCGTACAAAAAAAAAGCAGATTTGTAGGAAATTTAATTTTAAATCACTTTTGTAAAAACTATTTTCCGTGTAAAATTGAAAATAAATGAGTTATTCAAGATACAAAAAATAACCCTTTAAATCAAGCTGGCGGAGGTAACGACAACTTTGGAATCCCAACTTTTTGAATTTAGACTACCACAGACCCTCTCCAACGAATTCCGAAGGAAAATTGCTGCTTCGAATTTTTCAGAATCTCAAGCCTGTTCTTCACCTAATCCGATTGGGCTACATATTAAGTAAGAAATGCATTTGTTATTAACTAAAACGCATAGTTTGCGTACGTACCTTCCACCACCAAATTTTTTTAAATTTATGTTTTTTTTTTAACCGAAATTTGTACTATGTTTGGTAGAGGCCGCAGTTGAGATTTCCCATTTAAAGTACACTGTGACGTCAATATTATTTAAAATGGCATCGCTGTGAATAGAAACATTTCAGTCATACAAAATAAATTAATGTAGTTGACAACGTCTCCAAGAGGTGCGTGCTTCTCTTATATTGGCCGGTATCAGGCGATACTCACCAAACACAAATCTAATAAATGAAAGCGTTGGGCAATAGTAGCGGATATGCTCGATGACCTCATCGTCTTGTTCGCACCTCCTGCAGAGAGCAGATTCTGACAGCACCATGATATGGGAATGCTTCCATACTTGGTAATAATCAGTCAGAATAACTATGATTAGGCGCAGATTGTCTAGTCATATCAAATATTTGGCTATATATGGAAGGCTTAATCCTGTGTCAAATATATTGTATTTTCTATGTATTTTTCATATTTTATATATCTGAAATTATACTTGTGTTCACTTCTAACAAAAATAATAACATGTAACCTTTTTCAAAGAAAAAAACATTAAAACTGTGTATATTGTATTATTTAGATTCTAATTATACATATAGATATATAATCTCCAATCGATTTCATCATCTGACTGTAGCTCTTCCATTAATTCGTGTTTCCTCCTTATTTGTGTGGTTATGTATGGTAAGATATCTTTCAAGAAAGTTTTCATGCCTAGGGTAACTATCTCCTCACAAAATGTGTGCAAGTCCAACTTACATGTATCATATTCGCGGCAAAGACTGCTGCCTTCACCGTATTTCTTATACTATTCATTTGATTTAAAGAAGGCGGCTTTAGGCCAGTGCTTAGCGGAATGCATTATCCACATATCGTAATAATGTGAAACAATATATAATATGGCCGTTATTAAAGAAACAAATATGGGCCAAGTTATACTTACAATAAAATTGTGAAAATTTTTAATGAAATAATGTGTTTACTATATGTAATTAAAAGTAAAAAATACTTACAGTGGCTCTACCACAGATGCTAAATATTATACCGCAATTACACTTATATATTTTCATTATTTTTATTATTTATTTGATATTTTTGTGAATCCAATTTAAAAAAAAGTCTAGCATATGTATATAAATGACTACTAATTCAATATACATTCGATATTTTAGTAACTATAATATACAGCTAAATATTTCATCAAATATTTACTTATTTTGTTCTTAAAATATTGTAGTTTGCTACCCACAATAAATAATCCGAAAACTATTAAAAGCAGGGTTCTACCAAATCTCATCACCCTACTCTAGAGGAACTGCCTAAACTTCGTTCTAGATGGTGACCATAAAAAACATATTTCTACTAAACTTAGTCCAACTAGATACCTAAAGAACCCCGGCCCTTTTTACCTGAATTCGAGGTTTGCGTATTATACCTAGATCTCCAAACAAAATAGGTATTTTAGTTGAAAACGTTGTGTGCCAATGTGTCTGCTTACTTATTTTTTGTTTTAAATTTTTGGTGTCTTTCACCTGAGAAAGATATTGTAATTATTCTGATGTTATTTTTTCCGTTTTTGTATGTATTTTGTATTGGAATAAGATATTTTTAGCCGTTTTGAAACCTTACATTGTGGAAGCTTACGATGTTTAAACTTTTTAGATACGTACGCTACTATATATCCTCTCAAAATTCCCCCACCTCTTTTAAGCTCCTTCGATATTCACGCTCTCTACGGTACAATAGTTATACCAGAGAGGTACTTAGATTAAACTCACTACATTTCATGATATACACACCAATTACTATACATAAGGTACTTACACTCATACCACTTCATTGTGTTTGAAGTAATGGGGAGTACATACTATAACTTATTACACATGATATACATACTATATACAAGGTATCTACATGTGAATGGAGTATTGAAAAGTACTTGCGATGCTCATTACACATTGAAAGTTTCTTACTATGCAATTAGACTCAGTACAGTGGGTACAGAATTGGGAAATACTTGTTAACGAAATCCCCCACTTTTTCTGAGCTCCTGCCTCGATATTCATGCCGTGATGCTTGCGCCCGGCTGGTTCCTCACTCTAAACGTGGTGTTTGAGAGTCAAGGATGTGCGGACTTCATCCCCCATTTATGAAAAACAATTATGTCTATTATTTAGAATGTACTTAGGATACAGAACGCTATGTACGCTACAATAGTAATAACCGAGAGGTACTTAAATTACTCTTATGACATGCATAGCAATTACTATATACACAAGGTAGCTACACTCATTACATTTCAATGTGTATGGAGTAATGAGAGGTACTTACGATACTCATTACACATGGTGTAAATGGTAATTGAAAAGTACTTACTACGCAATTTATATTCATAATATACAAGCCTGAGAGGCACCCGCTGATTTTGTGAAGGATGGGGAACTATCCCTTCCACCGATGTTTACGTCTTGCGCGTCTGCTGGAGACTAGCGCTTCACTATAGCTATGACGGTTGAGTGAGAGTCAAGGATGTGTTTTAGGTATGCCACGACGTATTTCTCCTTTGCTACAATAGTAATCACGGAGATGTACTTAGACTAAACTCATTACACTACATGATATACATAGTAATTACTATCTAAGAGGTACTTACTATGATCGTTACATGCTACCCGATATACATAGTAAATACTTATATCTATATGTGTATGAAGTAATTACACTCATAACACTATGTAATTACGCTCATTGGGAGGTACTTGCTAATTGCGCGAGGGGTGAGGGTGGCTACTTAGGATAATTACTAATTACCTCTGATTATCTTCCGTCCAGAACTGTCCAATCACAACTACTAAATATAAATTTAAAAATATTATTTTGTATTGTTAGGTAAAAATATTATAGGATGTTACTAGGAAATTATAATGACGATATTATTTTAGCAAAGTTATATAGTTTAGGCACCACAGGACAATTACTAGAG